CGCTATTGAGGGTCTACTGGCCTCTCACCGGCTGGTCTGGTCGGTCAAATACCTACATTTGTATTATTACAACCGCCTGGACACACTATCTAGCTGCTTAAAGCTTCTTTGGAATACTCAGAGTCTTTCCTTTCACCCACTGCTCATTTTGGCCTCTTGTGGGCCCTTCGACCATTTTGAAGCGGACCGCTTGGGGTCTCTTTAGCTGTTTCAGACGTTTGGACTGGCTTAACCTGAAAAGTTACGTTTTCTCAGAGCATTGCACCGAAAGCGACCGCATTTGTGTTGGCGCTAAGTCGCGGGCAATTACTCAGGTAATGGTCAGCTGCTCATATCGTGTCAAGGACTTTGCACAAAAAAATATACTCGCTAAGTACGGTTCAACGGCCCAAGAGCTGCACGGATAGGAGGCCAGTGGTTAATAATGCAAAATAAAGGGTATGCCGCACGCTCATACGCGATTAGCAAACCAGCAATTTCGGAGGACAAAATATTTCACATCACGCACGCAATGCTCTTAAGTCTCAACCAAAGCAGCAAACAGCGTTGGCAAATTCAAAGGACCTTCAAATAGCACTGTTGTCACAGATCAGAGGTCACGCGACCAAGGGTCGCTGACCGTGCGTTTGTAGCGTGCGAATCTATACTGAACTTAACAAGCGCATCCATCATTTTCGCCACGCGCGGTAAGTCATTCTGAGGTCCTCGAAGTCCGGCCATCAAATCTTACGATTCTCAGTATGCTATTTGTGTACAGAAACTCTTCTTACTACGCACATCCCTAAACAACGAGGCATGTTATGCATATACGTGCATATATAGGTGCATATGTATATGTGCACATACACATGCATGGAACCTATTCATTTTCTCCAAATAATGGTGAATTCCGTTATTTTGAGTCTAAGTTTTTCGGGGAAAACTTAGAAAAATAAGCTTAAGTTGGCTGCTAAATACCATTGAGATTAAGCACGAAGTTGGTTCCTTGCACGCTTACAGTTAGCCGACTGGTCGATGTGATCACCTAGTGGCTGATGACTGACGCAGAGTCTTTGCTTTGTTTGTTATGAAGGAGTGCAAAATATCTTGGCATTAAAATGTATTATAGAAATGGATAGGAATGTGATGCGCAAGTATAATAGGTGCCACAAACTCAATAAGCAACCAAAATATTACACCACGCGGCGGACGCAGCATTGTGTTCGGCAATTGCGCGAAAAAAAATTCATCGGCACCTAACCGACCGCTGCTGTAAGGCTCAGACACTAAGGCCAACATCGACGAATTCTGAGCGATCATGGGTGTCGCGGCAGGCCAACAAAGGGGCTTCAGTCAAGCGAAAGCGAAAGCAAGCGTCCGAACAAGCGAGAAGAACCCAAAACCAACGTGCTAGGCCTCTGAACGACCGGGATCGTCCCGGCAGGCCGACATAAAGAGCCCCGGCCAGAGCATCGGGTCGTTTGAGCAAAGGGGCTGGTGTACGTGCGCGCACCCAAGACCGCTGTGCCACGTGAATGAACGCCCCATGCGATCAAGAGTGCCCAGGTGGGTTAACGGAGAGGGCTGCGATGGGAGTAGAGGGTCCTCCTTAAACGAGATCAAAGGGAAAGAGCCTTAGGTCAATGGAGAGGGTCCCTGAGCACCGAGTGGCTCAGCACCTTACTTTGCATTGGCTCAAGCAACAGCAGAAGGCCCTCCAACAATGTGGATAGAGCTCGAGACCAATACGAAGGCCTCTGTGTAACTAAGTGTGCCGCGTCATATGGGGTCCCCAACAAAAGAGCGTAGAGCCTTTCGGGCAAATGCGAATAATGCGTGGAGGGCCCTTGACCGATCAAAGTGTTCAGGCATGCAAGCAGATAACGTTCCAACAGCAGTGTAGGACCTTGCAAGAAAATGCAGAGATCAAGGCACCGTGGAAGGCTCCTCAGCGATCGGGTTGACCCGGCAAGTATACACATAGGGCCCCGGCAACAGCGTAACACCTCTAGACAGCATAATGAGCTTTCGCTGTTCACGGCTTCACTTTCGCTTGTCACTGTTCTTGGTCGTCTGGAGGCCCAAAGACGTCCAGCCTTGTGTGTTTGTGTTTGAAGACTGTGTCCGTTCAACCGGTCATGGGCCCATTCAGAGCCTATAGGCCTCTTCGAGGCAGAAGGGGGAGCACAGTTCCGTGCCCCCTCTGAATCCGCCATTGGCCCGAGTAGTTCGATAGAAGGAACCCCAACAAGAACGCAGGGCCATCTATAAGAGTGCCCTACACGATCTTGTGCAATCATGTCCGTCCCGGCGGCTCAGTTGGTTAGATCGCCTGCCTTCCTATCCACCCACCCGTGGCAGGGTGGGTTCGAGTCGCTTTAGGGCGCACGCTATTTGCCCTTGACAGGTATGGCCTGCGGCCGGTGGCAGCGGTCGCGCTAAAGGTCAATTGACGTCAGAGGGCAGGACGGACCGTAAGTGCTCAAGACCCAATGTAGATGAGCCCCGAACGATCATGTGTGCCAGATCAGAAGGGGTCCCGACAAGAGCGTAGGACCCTCCATTCAAATAATACACACCTTAAAGCTCAGTGTGGAGGGCCCCCAAAAGATCAATTGTACCCAACCAGGCTATCATATGGTCCATACAGGAGCGCAGGGCACCAACATTCAAATACCAAAACCCAATGAGCAGGGCCTCCGAATAATCCAGTGTACCCGGGCAGGTAAACAGATAGAGGCCCCGCAGTGTGCCGGTAGGTTAACCGCGACAAATGCGAAGAGCCCCGAGCAACCGAGAATAGCCAGCATGTCAACATATGGGGCCCCCGGGCTCTAGCATATAGAGCATTTCGGGCGAATGGAAAGAATCCGTGGAAGGCTCATGATTGACAGAGTGCCCCGACACGCTAGCAGGGAAGACGCCAGCAGCAGCGCAGGGCCCTTCAAGCAAATGCAAAAAAATCAAGGGCAACGTAGACATGTCCTTGATTTCTTTGTTGAAGGCTCCTTAATGATCAGGTTGACCCCGCAAGTGGACATACAGGGCCCCCGGAAACAGCGTAGCACTTTTGGCCATCGTAAGCAGCTTTAACACCTCCCAGGCACCACCCTCTCAATCAGTGAAGAACAATTTTGTCTACTCGTGGGCCCTTCACTCTCGCTCGCGACTGTTGTTGGTCGCCGGGAAGCCCAAAGACGTCCAATTTTGTCGCGTTCGGTGTAAAAACAGCGTCTATTCGGCTGGTTATGTGCCCCTCGGAGGGGGCCAGGGGGCACGACCCTGCGGCTCCCCTCTGGATCCGTCCCGTGAAGACGGACGCCGTGCGAGTACCGGCTGTGCCCCGCTCGCGCCATGACACACCAGTGTGCCCGGCGACGGCCGCCGTGTGACCTGAGTTATTGTCCGCTCGATCAGCCGCCGCTCCCAGGGCTGGACGACGCCCACTGACTGAAAGACAGTGCGCGTATTGCAGCCATTTGTCAGGAAGCGACGGCCCGAGCTGCCGACGGCGGCGACAAAACGAGACTGCACTTTCGTAGTGGGGCGACGTCTCGACGGTTCATTCAGCCTCGAGTGACTGCGGGCCTTAGCCCGCGGCGATATATCGCCGTCATCGTCGGCACGTATTATGGCGGGGGTAATCGCCTGGTTGTCTATGGACGCCTGCAGTTTCCAAGGGTGTTGGCATCGCGACGCACAGGCGACACCCCGACACAAAATCCTTGCGCACAACAAAATGAAACGAGAAAGCATAACTGCTTAAAACATATCTGAACTGGAGCTCACGCCTCGGCAGCCAACGTACCAGCATGTTTTGCAGCCAAGCTAGTTTATCGACCCTAGAGGTTGCTTTTTTCTTGGTTTTCAATGAGGGATTTCATTTTCGTTCACACGGGTACGTGGTCTCACAGAAAACGTAGGGCCCTCAACATCGACATTACGATCCGTCGAGCGGTGAAATCTGTGGCCGGCCATTGTTGAATGCGCTGAGACGATAGAGGTCGACCATAGCGGCCACAAACGCGAGACATTAACATTTTTGTCCGCATTTAGCACGTGTGCGCCCGTCTAAGCGCAGTTTATGCGCGGCTGACACTGGACACGCATTCATAAAGTACGTAGTAGCAGAGCTTTGGCGCACAAACGAACCGGACAAGGCGTCAACGGAATGTTTATCAGCTGTTGCGCGAGGATGAGCTCACGCTTTCCTGATGTTGCATGGGACCAACTGGAGCTATGGAGCAGTGTAGTGCGCACGCCACACGCTAGTGACGAACAAATGGCAGTTGCGCCTTGCAGCTGCAAGGGTAAACTGCAGCATGGAGTCAGCCCGCTTTTTGCCACTTAATGAACCGATAAAAAGACATGCCGCGCACGTGTGTAGTGGGTCGCACTTGTGCTCCTGTCGGCCAGGCTGAAAATATAGTCACCCGATAGTCTGAGCTTGCAAATTTTGCTCCGAAGAAAATGAAAAGAAATCCGCCATTTCTGAATATGGTGAAGCTGTCTCAGAGCCTCATGCGGGATGTTTAGCAGAAAGTGAGCCCACTCCACCCATGAAGTCTGCTGGCCTTCGGCCCTTGGGTACCAGGCGGAGAAACAAGCGACGGCCATACATCATGCTTCTGACGGCTGATCACCGTTCGACTGCGCACGCGACTTTAGCTGAAGAACATAAATGACGCCCTTTGCGGCATAACGATTTCTGAGAACATTTGGGAGTTCCCAGACCGGATTTCAGGCAACCAAAATTACAACATGCGTTGCCACATCCAAATTAACTTCACTAGAATCCAGCTGACACTGCGTTCGTCGCTACAGATAAACGTTAATTTAGATTGACGTTAGCAAAAGCCTGCATTCTCGTCCATCACTCCATCTTAACCGGAACCATCACATTCTCTGCGTTTCGCACAATATGCTTTTCAAAGCCGACATCAAACAATCCCTTAAGGTTTATTCCTGCTTGCCAATGTGTTCAATCCCCCTCTCCACGTATTCTACAGGTTAAAACACACATTCTACCTCTACAGACGACTGCATGTCGTCATTTCACAATCAGGTTTATCAGCACTTGAGAGCTCACATGAATGCGCACGATGCGCGCAGAAAGTAATGTGATTAGACATATCATACGAAAACATGCCCAGCATGCCTCCAGCATGCGAGGGATGACCGTTGGCAAGATGTCTGGTACTGCAAGTGGAAGGCACTCAGACAGGAGCACTTCTAGTTACTAAGGTGCGTAGCAGCTTTACACCTTGCTAATAGCACTAAAGCAACAGGTGTTCCCCGAAGAAAAACTCCAGCAATGCATACAAGAAATTGAGGAGAAGCCTTGCAATCAGTCCGCTTTAAAGCGCAACAGAAAAATCACGGCACTGTTTCGCTCACTTTGGGTAACCAGCTCACCAACACGGCGAGGTACGAACAAGTCTAGCGTACAAAAGCACCGAGAACAACAAACCACATCGGAAACTGGAACGGATCCAAAGAAAAACACCTCTTCGGGAATCAAACGCGGTAGACGGTCGGGTGGCAGTCTGGTCCACAGGAGGCGGGCCGGCGGGAGGCCCGACGCTGTGTACCGGGTCAGGACGTGGCGGTCGAGCGGACGGCCGTGAGCCAGAGTCCCAGGGAGCGGCCGCCCGCCACCTGAAACACGGACGGAACGCGTCAGCTGAGGCATTGAGGAAGTGTGCCGCGTCGATTTTCGCTCCCCTCTCCTTACACCCGACCATGGCGAAGGTGGAAAGTTCGTGTTACTGATGTGTTTTCTTCGCGTGATTCGACCAGCCGGACGAATGGCGACGAATATGAAGCGTCAGTTGCGTAGGATTTTAAGGGCAATCGCACCGAGCACAAACGCAATTGACCGATTACACTAAGCCAAAAGGTTTAACTAATTTTGAGCATGATCATTTAATCATGATCATGATTTGATCACATGATCGCACATGAAACCTAAACAAAACAACGGTTCTGTGTCCGTGTTTTTCCCATGGCATGGGATAGAGCCGGCTGTTTTAGAGCGGGCAGAGGTCACAGCGGGCTCAATGTAGCATCGTGAATTCTGATGGCTACGCGGTAACAAGCACATCACGGATGCTTAATTCGAACGTCGTCGTGAGCAACCAGAAGACACCGTCACCGATCCGCCTTACGATTGCTTCGCGACGTCCTAGACTGAAATCGGCTGGCTTCTTTCATCCGTTACGGAGCAAATCGTGCCGAAAAACCGCACGACGGCAAGCCGTAAGTAAAGATGCAAGCACGGCACAGTAGCGCTGTATGAAAACAAACACAGCAAACACAGCACTATGCACCGAATGCAGAGGCTGTGCCAAGCACGGTAGTGGTGTGCGTAGCGCCAACTACCAAGTGGAAAAACCCATGAAGTTTGTTCATTGACAGTCCATGTGCTTACACCCCTGCGGGCTCCGATACACACCACTGATGTTGGAGCGAATCCCATCAAAACCTGTTCACCAAATCATCGGAGATCAAGGCATCAAAAATGTGTCCCTAGCATTTCTGCTTTCGGAGCACCGATAGCTTTTAAGAACGCTACACGGCGATCTATGACCTGCGCGGGCAGCGGTGGAAACTTACGAAGCCGCAGAACACAAGCATCATAAATACATGGTCAAAACATATACAACTATGCACTATGGTACTCCAAACTGAACAAGGAACAATCACATCTAGAATTCGTGTCTCTGAAAGACACGGTATTTTATATAAGAGCATACATAGCTAAAAGTTAGATTTCGTGAAAACTAGGGTTTTGACCTGCTATAATGGGGCCAATAGCAGAACTAGCGGCATCAACCTTATGACCAATCGCGATACATCGTTGAAAGAAATCCACTGATATTTTTGTCCAAGTTCCATTTTTTAGCTTGCAAAAGGCAGGGGTCGCCCCTTTTGCAGACCAGAAACTTAGCCAGGCGGGGCGGGCCAGGCTGCGGGCTGATACATATTCTTTTTTTTTTGGGGGGGGGGGGCGGAAGTCGCGTCTCTAATATGAGCCCAATACGCTTTTCAATCCCGTGACACCGCCTGCCGCGGCGATGACTCGACGCTCCATTCCTGCCCTGCCGGGCCAACACGTCGCGCCGCGCTGTACCACGGCAGGGGCGACAGCACCACGCGACAATAATTAATCGACGGCGACGCGACATCCAGCCATTCCCATAAACCGTGCCGGTAGGGGTAATGACAAATGCCGCACAATTACGGACAGCTGGTGACCGAACAAGTCTCGGCAATGCCACCTAATCACGCGACACCTTTGTCCAACAAGGCGAAATGTCATTATATGCGCAACCATCAATTTCTCGGGCGGTCTAATGTCCACAGCTGATACGTGGTGTGCAAAAATAATCAGAAGCGACCTGTTCAACACTGGACTGTTCAGGTCCGGTCACCAGCCGCATCCGCGGGACTGGGACAAATGTGCAAATCTCACCTATTTGCTGAGTCGCAAGTTTTTAGGCATTGCACTACCAGCTATTGAGTTACGCTACAAGTTCTGACATATAAACTTCAAACATATAAACTTACAGACGGCATGCCCCACAAGACTTACACAAAGAGTTTAACATAAATTTCCATGTTGTTAACAAGCGACGGTGGTCAGGTTCGCAGGACGATTTCAACGGTCGAGGATGGCAAGCCGACATTCAAGAGGATGACCAGTTCATCGCCTGACGATGGGTTGCACAGGTCGAACGCACGTTATAACCTACACACATTCCACCATAATGTTTGCATGTTTTAGCATGCCACCGCAATAACAACACACATTTCAACGCAATCGCTGATTACACAACGCATTCATACATTGCACTTTCTCGCACAGTTGAAGTTGGTTGAGTGTTGACTGTAGGCTATGCAAAAATCAAAACATTGTCCCGGAGCGCTCGAGTTTTTATGGACTGGAGCGCTCCACGCAGTTGGTCGGCAATGACAATTATACCTCACATCGGCAATGGAGGGTAGGTCAGGAAATAATACCAACCCACGAATGTGGATCGCTTCCGGTATTCCAATTAATCAGGTACAAACTAAGGGGTGCTGGGAAATACTGACATTTCAGAACTAAACGTTTTCAAGATTGCTGCCCGAGAGAAAACTGAAATGGTCCACATATGTATGCAAGCTCATGCTCAACAGCAGGGCACCAATAGCGTGGCGGTTAAGCTGCGCATCTGGGAAACCTGACGTAGGGAGTTCGATTCGACCCGATCTCCGCTCTTCCTGCCAGGGTGAGAAGCAGGCGACGCCACAAAACCTCAGCAGCTGAGTGCGTCGTGAAGCCCCAATGTGATGTTTAACACAGTGATTCGAAACAACAAAAAGAAATTCAGAGGAGCAAGACTATGTCTAGGCTTTGCCAGTTTGAAGCTACCACCGGCGAGACTGAGAAACACTGAAGCTCGAATGTTTTGCTTCTTTTGATCCTTTAAATATACTTTGCTACTGTGCACGGGTGACTGATGACCATATGATGCAGAAATTTATCGCATCAGATTCTTCAAATTGACATCGAAGTTCTCTTGACTTCGAACTTGTGATTTACGTCCTGTACCAATGTGATGTTCCGCACAGAAAATGCTGAGAAATATCGTTGCAGCGGTAAGGCAGATATTCAAGCCAAAAATATTAGGGCCTAAGCTTTTCGATGACCAGAATGTTCTTTATGGGAAGACACGGCAATTATCAAACAAGCAAACTACTCTTGGCATGCATCTCATACAATTTACGATGATATTGTAGCAAAATGTTATGTCGTTTTGTCTGACGATGTGAGACTCATGTGTTCTAGTCATTGGAAACGTTCTAAGTCAAAGTGGCGACGGCATTGAATGAAAACTTGACGGTGCGCTTCAAATGGTAATCGATTGCTGGGCCCTAACGCTAGACATTCTACATCGATATAAGAGGGACAGATAGATGTTTTAAGGAGCTTTGACACGTGGATTTCCGCGCTTCGAAGTCGATACATGTACAATAATCACAGAAAATAAAAACCAATGCACAGTCACAATACGGGCTGGCGGTGTTTTGGGCAAGCGACGAACGGTGCTGTCAAAGGATGTTACTTCATCGTAAAAATGGCTTAAGGTAGCTTCAGAACCCTCACTCTTGAAGAAAAAGTTCATCCCGTAAGGAGGCCTTCTCGCAAACCCCTTTCAGACTGCGTCAAAATGGCTCACATAGTTTCAGATTTTCACTCTTGAGAGAATCCATTTGGTACATCTCTCCCATGTCATTTTCAGACTGACTTTCATTAAAAACGTGACAAGAAGGCTTTAGTGATATCACACGTCATGCAATGCAATTTTTTGGCTCGATTATCATTCTCTGCACGTTTATTTAGCTCTAAAGGCATAAGTAGCGTGAGGGGGCGGGTGGAGACACTGGCAACACTATATCTCGCACATATCTACTCATCCGTCTACGACAGCTAGACTTGGATAGTGCCAGAAATATGGACAACTTCGAACCCGAGGGTGGCGCTGCTGCCGTAGGCCACGTAATAAACTAAAAGCCATCAACAGCCCTGGCATTTCGATCATGAGACCGAATTTAGACAAGCCCACTATCTATTGTTGCTGGTACACCGGGATTTTGATAGACAAACTAATATCTCTGGCTACCAAGCCCTCGGATTAAGCACGCAAACACAATCAATTCCAGATTGAGGTGGGCATACGCGGAGCGGACCTTATAATACTTGGGCAAGCATGATTGCGCCAGAGTGACGAACAACGGAAATCACGCCACATTTTTGGCAGCACTCAAATAAGTTCGTAACTGGACATTTAACACCGCGCCAGCGTTATTGCCCCTCACGGATGTGCAGCTGTTCAAGCTCCAAAAAACCAGCCTTTAACAGCTCTCAAATAAATTACCAGACGCGCATTTCGAGCTAATGTTCAGTAAAGCCTGACAGCCTGGTAGTTGGTTTCTGGGACATCATATATCACGTCATTAGAATAGTTTGCCGCGTACTCTATAGCTTAAATAACGATCGGGGTTTAGCAGATCAAAAACACATAAGGCATTGAATATATTTGTTCGTTTTCAACCCTCACCTAGGCCGTTTCAAAAACCCTCGAACGATCCTTTGAGCACTCGATTCTCTGGTCATTTTGAGCTCTTCTGGGTTATTAGGCAGTCTTGGGAGGGCCGTTTGTCTCTCCCGCCAATTATGAATAAGCACGATAAACTGCCTCACTAATAAGACAGCATTGCCTATTTACCCGATGTTACCATTTCCATAGGTCATAATTTACGTATTCGCGTGGACTTCTCGCGTTATATGCAAATATTACGCCATCGTTTTCAGTTACCTTATACGCAACTATGTCCAAAGCAGACAGCCAACGGGAAACCAGTGACCCGCATCTGACAGACTCGAGCGGGACCCCGCTCGATACAGGCACTCCATGTCACTGCTTTTGAAACGAAATTGGCCGGGTCAAAAAGGTTTCCTCATATTTTTCCTACGATGGGTAAGTAAGAATGATGCGTGAGATCTGTTTTTCAACCTAACAAACCCAGAGTCTCTGAAGTTTTCACTGTTTTGCGTTATCCTCGGCCGTGACCCTACGGAATGAAACGTTGCTGTACTGGAGGCACCACCAGGAGTACTCTACTCACATTGGGACCATGCTTGGACCCATGTGAGTAGGAATCCTGGGACAATTCTTACGTTGTGTGAATAAATCTTGAAAAACAGACAGCCGTATAAGTATAAGGTCAAGATGCAGTTCCTTACAACTTATTTAAGAACGGCTTGTGGTTCTTCACTATTAAGCTCTCGAACTACCTAATAAATGATCCACACCCTTAATCCTCGAGCACCGACTTCCTCTCAACGTCCGAGCACATTACGGAGAGCGTTATCCCCACCACGTGCCCAAAGCCAGGAGCACATCACAGAGAACGTTATCAGTGCCCACCAGGCACCCAGAGAGCGTTGTCACGCCGCATTCCCAAAGTCAGGAGCGCATCACAGAGAACATTATCGTCACCACGTGCCCAAAGCCAGGAGCACATCACAGAGACGTTGTCACCGCCGCATTCCCAAAGCAGGAGCGCATCGCAGAGAACGTTATCATCACCACGTGCCCAAAGCCAGGAGCACATCACAGAGAGCGTTGTCACCGCCGCATTCCCAAAGCCAGGAGCGCATCACATAGAACGTTATCATCACCACGTGCCCAAAGCCAGGAGCACATCACAGAGAGCGTTGTCACCGCCGCATTCCCAAAGCCAGGAGCGCATCACATAGAACGTTATCATCACCACGTGCCCAAAGCCAGGAGCACATCACAGAGAGCGTTGTCACCGCCACATTCCCAAAGCCAGGAGCGCATCACATAGAACGCTATCATCACCACGTGCCCAATCAGAAGCACGTCACAGAAAGCGTTATAACCACCACGTGCCCAAAATCAACAACATGCCACAGAGGGCGTTATCACCACCACGTGTCCAACATCAGACGCCTCAATGCTAAGAGGAAGCTCCGTCCTCACTTGGAATAGGATCATTCAGTAAGTCCTGATCACGGGAATTGATTCCATACATAATCGTATTCGAGTTAACATGGTCGTACAAGGGGAATCCAAGAGGACCTTAGTTTTTCGGAATAACCTCTGAACGGCTGAGTGCAGTGCTGAAACTTTAATTAACTAAGTTTACATCATTCTAGGCTTCATTAACACTCTGAAGTGCAGTGCTACCTCTCTGGTAGCTTTTGCAAGGCCGGGTCATAGAAGATCAAGCTAGGTTAAACTTCCACCTTTTTAACCATATTTGACTGCGGAGGGTCATATGGTTCTAGCCTTCAGGACGACCATCTCGCGTCTTCGGAACGCCTTCCTATCCCTGTTTCCCCATTGATGTGGCTTGTTGTAGTTTTCGATATAGCCAGGCGAGCCAATGCAAAACTGGCCTTCACCCGCCCCCTTGGCCTGACATGACGTTTCGCGAATCCCATGCGCCATTGTCCTCTGGTGCTTATCTAATGAGTTTTCCAGGAGTCATTCAAGTCCGTCTTTCGTATAGCCGTAGCACGCTTAGTTACTAAAGGAACAGACAGCCTGATGGCGCCTATTAAGTGTAATTTTGACCCCTAACCTGGTTGGATCTCTCAAAGGCCACATTCATCGTTGTTCAAACACACCTAGATGCAGGAGAGCTCTCACTGCCGTTTTCCGCGAGATCTAGGTGCTTATGTTTAGAGATCTTATGGGAGGGGGGGGGGGGGGGGCTCTAAGCCCCTTCGTGGGGTGAAGGTGAAAAGCTCGCCTGGAGAGAATTTTAATATGCACTGAGTTGGAACACATTAGCATGATTCGTTTACTATCATTCTTTTCATCGAGTCCGTTCTGTACGCTGGCATAATTCCGTACATTTTGACGTAAACATGTGCCCTTTGGATACAGTATGAGAACTATGACCAATTAAGTTCCTAACATCACGGCGAATGACAAATAGTAGCTTCGGAAACACATCAGCTATTCTTGTTGTTGTTCAAAAGCTGCTTGTAACCACTGCTGGAAGTCAGCAAACCTCAAGAAGCAAAGAAAAAAAGCCTGTGCCGGATCAATAACGTTCGATACATAGCTTAGATGCGCGCAACAAGCTCGACCGAACATCCATCCTGAAACCGAAAACATTGCGGAAAACATTCACGCATCGAATACGACACAGAGATCTCCCGCCTGAACTAACCTGGCACGCCCCTCAAATCCAAGCCTGGACGCCACGGCCGTCGTGCTCTCAGGCCTCCGAGTAGTCCTTGCCCTTGTGGCCCAGCCGCCTGGCCAGGTCGGACATGACTTCGCTGAATATGACCGGGTCCATGTTCTGGCCGAGCATGTAGAGCAGGAACCAGTCGCCGATGCGCGAGCGCCGAATGATGACACTGATGGCGTCCCTGCTGACGAACCGGAGCCGAACCTGCAGGAAGAACGCTCGCAGGCGCGGACTGATCATCAGCAGCAGCCGCATCATGGTGTTCAGCATCGTCAGCCCCGCCAGGATCAGGAACCAGAACCACAAGAAGAGGTATAGCTTCTCGTTGACGATGTTCAGAGGCAAAATGCAAAGAACGTCCAGCACTTCGATGTTGCTGGACGCCCCGTACTTGCGGAAAATGCACTTGGTCATGCGAGGGAAGACCCTGATCAGCGGATCGACGC